GGGGGGGGGGGGTAGTGAGATTCAGGGCCACAACTGGCTTTTTTTGTTGTTGTTGCTGCTTAGAACTCTTGTTTCTTTTCCCTTTTTTTTTCTCTTCTTGTTTGAGTAAATTTGTTGTGTGAGGGAGATGAGGGTTGACATTGCTGAAGAACTCACTGTTTTGGGCAAAGATACAGAATAGGACGTAGGTGTTGGCGGGTGCTCTGGTGGAGTTTGCTCCTTCTTTCCTATTCAATGTCTATCATCCATATCTCTCCTTTTTTGTGTATGTTACTCTCTTCTAACTCCTCTAATCTTTGACACTTGTACGACCTAATTGTAGTTCAGATTGCCGTAAGACTCTTACTAAAACTAGAAAATAGAAAAGGACACTTTTCTCGGCAGCAGCAAATATACTGAGTTAAGTATGAAAAGCTGAATCGTGACTGCCAGTGTTTTGTGTATAGGGCTCCTGCTTGATGGATAGACCAGAATGTTCTTTTGTGGATGGAAACTGTTGTCTTGTGCCCTTAGTTTTTGGAAGCTGATTAAAATTCAAAGAACTACCAAATACAATATAATGAACACACATTTTTGAGGAATGCTAATTTTGGTGGATCGCAATTCCTGTTCAAGATGAAGACCTGAGGTGTTGACTACCAGTTTTGTTCTTGAGGGTTCATGTGTGACTGACTTTGCATTCTATTTTCAGAATCAGATGCTGCCAATGTTAATATCTCCAATGCCAGGCTAGGCGCCAGCTCAATGACGTTGGACCGACGTTCGTCTGGGGGAGAAGGGGTAAGACTTATTAGGATGTGATGTTGCTTGTTTTATATTGAATACAGTGTATAAACATGCTTCTACTTATGGATAACGGGACTATTTTTCATAGTGCTGTTTTAATGGTTGCATTGGAGAGTTGCTTCTCTGACGCACTTTTTATCATAGTGCTCTGATGATGATTGAGATGTAAATTGTTTTAATATTGTTTTTGTCTAAAATTGCTGTGTGTGTGGGTGTGCATGTGCGTGCGTGTTGTATGTGTGTGCGTGCACGTGCGCGCATGTTTTTGTGTGTTTGTGTGCACATGCGTGCATGTGTGCGTGTTTGAGAGAGAGTGTATGTGTATGTGCACAAATGTTTGTGTTTTGTGCGCGTGTGAGTGTGTGCATGTATGTTGTGCGAGTGTTTCCTTGCTTTTTGTAAGTTTTTACATTTTCTGCTGTAGGAATCACCTCTTCTGCCTGAGGTAAGGTGCTTGTTTCTGTTGCTTTTCCTTGTTCAGTTATCTGCTTTGGAGTATTTTGAGAGACACACAGTGCAGAGATAGATAAATAAAATTAATTACATTTTTATAATCCTCATGGGGGAAATATGAGTTTCAATTTTAGCATAGTTACAAAAATTAAATATTTGACTCATAGATATGCATACACAGAATACTGAATGCGCAATATGCAAATAGTTTTACAAACATGCCATTGGTTTTCCTTTTTATGGATACATAGATATTTATTTATCTGAGATTACAGATGGCCCTTTTTAGGGCACATAGTGCTGTGGAATTTAGAGCAAAGAAAGAATGGTCTTATTTTGTTCATCTCCACAAAGAGCTTTGTTTCGGAATGACATACAATGTACAAATGTACTGCAGTTTGAAGGAAAGTACACAACAAACGACATTGCTCAAGATGGCAGCCGATTGTCGAGAAGAAAAGTGTTTGTCTTAGATAGATGAATGTCTTGAAAAAGGTCATAATAATTATTTTAAAAAGGCAAGGGGGGAAATGGGAAGTGGCCGTTTGTACAGGCGATTGTCTAATATCGGTGGCAGGTTCGACTGAATAAGTGAATCTGGGTCCAAACATTGTTTTAAAAAAATTTAATTAAATTGAAAATGTCGCTGTGTTTCTCTTTTAGTTTGGTATCAGTATGATCTTTGTATTCGAAGAATATGTTCCAACATGATCAAGGTTAGACAATTTGAACAGAAATCATAGTCTTGGATTTTTTTTTTTTACCAGTTGTTAACAGAAGATAGTTCTGTTAAATGATACATTTGGAATTCAAACCGTAGTCTGGAGTTAGAAATAATGAAAAGTTTTGAGCCACGTGGCTCCGCCACTATTTTTTATGTGGGTTTTATGTAATCTGCTGCAGGGCTCACCGCAGTGGTTATTCATTCAAAACCTGACTTCTTTATCCCGCCAGCGTTTTTTAGTCACTCTTTTATAACGTTATAAACTTATAAACCTGTGTTCTCCCATCACTTTAGCACTGAAGCACTCTACCACTCTACCCC